TGGACCCCCTGTACTGCTTCCCTACGCAACCCCAGGGCTGGGAAAACCCAGCCAACGGTTGCAGCCCTGGGGCTGTGCTTTTCAACCTCACCCCCACACCAAGCTATTTTTTGTCCCCCAGCCCCTTGCTCCTCCTGCCCTCCCTCCCTCTGCCATCCCACAAGCCACTCTGGGTGCAGCTGCTTGTATCAGCATTTGCTGCTGCCAGAGCTGAGCAAGTAAGTCCTGGTGCAGGGAGAGCCTGGAGGTATGTGGTGGGTAGGCTTGTCAGGGGTGGGTGTTGAGGGGGCTAAAAATAGTCCCTGGTTCCCCAAGCCACCCTGTGGGCCCTGCTAGCTCCTCCCACAGTCCCCACAAGTCTCCCTGATTGCATCAGACCCTCCTGGACCCCAGCAACACCCTGTATGTTATGTCTGCCCCACCCCACCCATGGATCACGTCTGCCCCATCCTCCAGCGGACTCCTGATTCCCCCCAGCCTGCTTGCTCCCCAGCCCTCCTATTAGCTCCCCCCAATCCCAACTTATCTGATATCAGGTGGCCATTTTGAATAATTTTAACCTCTCCTAATGCCCCCAAATGTCTGTACTTAGCCCTGAAGTCCAGATGCTATAAAGAAACTAGAGGGTTCCACAATAGCTCTCTTGGGATGAACAGGTTGAGCAAAAACTATTTACAGTTTTAGGCCTAGTCTGTACTTGAAGTTTTAATAGCATAACTGTGCCAGTAAGGGCCATGACTTATTTACAAGTTGTACAGGGGAAGAACTGAGCGTTAATGCAGTTATACTGATATACGGCTCTTTACACTACTACAGCTTGCTATATTTTATCAAATCAGAATAGGTTATACCACTATGAGCACTCTCCTACAAGTAAATAGGGATGATAGGGATGGGTTTGCATACTTGTTACTTTAAATTATGCCCCAAAAATTAAAACAATAGATTTATTCATTAGACTGTCCAAGGCCTTGACTACAACTGAAAATTCCTTTCTCCTCATTTCATCAGGTTTCCTTTTCTCTAGCATTTGTAACTTCATAATCCCATTAAACTGCCTTTTTCCCACACTCTTAGTTTGTTTTGATGGGCAGGAACCATCTCTTATTATATATGTTCATACAGTACCTAACACAATGGAGCCCTAATCTTTAAGACCCCTATGCACTGCTGTAATACAAACATGTAATAATGAAACAGCAAAATAATATATTGAGACATTTTGGAAAACCATTTTGCTATTTATAAACACATAATAACATGGCATAGAATAGCAGGTAAAAGGGTTAGAAGAGTAAAATGGTTAGATGTCAGCTTGTATTCTCTAGGAAAGGCTTCTCAGACGGAGCTCCTGATGGTTCTTCTCTTCATTCTAATATGCTGAATATTGCAAAAATAATATATTTTTTCCATTTAAGATGGGGAAAAAATCCTGACTGCTGAATTTTGCAAGCATGGCAATGCTCCTAATTCCACAACTGTAGGGTATCCTCATGAATACATAATAGCAAAGAGTGATATGTTACCATGCACCTGTTCTGCATTAAAATATTTTCCTGATGACTTAAAACATTTCTCAGGGCAATAAGAATTAAATAATCTTATTATCATTATGTTGTTATGAAAGAGTCTAAATTACTACAATAAAAGAAAACTTAAATTGGATCATATTGCAGAAGCTTTATTTCACCTTAGATCTAGGTCATCATCATGATTACTTAGCTGCAATATTCAAAGAACCTAAATTCTACCCCTTGTATTCTGCATAATCCTTTTGAAAAGACAGGTATAACAGAGGGCAGATTAATGGTCTTTCATTTTTAAAAGCTAGAGTACTGAATCATTTTAGATAAAAAGTTACAATTTATATAATTCTACAATACTCAGAGACTACTTAGATTTCATGAAAACTCAATTATTTACCTTATGAATTTTCCAGTAAACAAGTTAAGTCCTACAACTTACAGGAGGTCAAAAATGAGGGAAATACATCCTTTATAAAGAAGAAAGTATTCATTATTCGAATGTGGAAATTTCAAAATTTGAAAAAAAAAGACCAACTCTAGTGAAAAGTCTTGGGGAAAAGGTGGAGAAAAACTGAAGTAATGAAATATGTTTGGAATAACAATCACATTGTGCTAACCCAATCACATTGTGCCTAATCCTCCTGGGCTATTGCAGGAGTCTCAGGTGCTGTCACAACACAAAGGGCTAATAGGCTGCCCAATTGTAATAGCAGGTACTTGGGCAAGATACCAATATGATCACTCACATTTGCCAAACATACTTATTGGAACAAACAGCTACTTTTAATAGGTGGGCTTTTTAACATGATGGGTGAGACTATAGATTCCATCTGGCACAAGAATCTCAGACAAACAGATTTTCAGCTCAACCTTCATTTTTACCTTGCTAAGACAAATTATCAATATGGAGGACCCATGCCATCAAATATTTTGAGCATGGTTAGGGTAAAGCCATGGCCTAGAAGGACAGCAACTGAAAATAAGACAGGGAAGAAATAGCAAGAGGCAGAAACAATTTGACTAGCATTTTTGAACAAGCTGTTTCAGAAGCTGTCCAACTCCTGCACAATTTAATGGGCGTTCCCAAGGCTTCAGTCCAGCAAACATGTAAGATGGAATAACCTTGTTGACTTGACTAGGGTCAGCAATACTCCACACAGATGTAGGAATCTGTCTGCACCGTTCTCTGCAAATTCAGAGAATACAAAGCCTAAGTCAGCAGTTCCCAAGATGCTTGAGGTTGCATCCTCAAGTGGAATTTTGGCTTAAAGTCCCACATAAATTCAATCATATAAGCCAGCCTTGGACTGAAAGTTGAGAGATGCTGCAAGTCCAGAAGTGGAGTTGCTACAGAAAAAAAGATTAGGAAGCACTGTTCTAAGAGATGCAGAGCCTTGTGCCAGCCCTGAGACAGGTGTGGACAACACCCTGAAAGCAACTCTGCACTTTTTTTTGTTTCAGAACTGAGCTCAGCTTTAAAAAATGCCAAACACTGTGCTTTCCTTCCCTTCTTCATGTACGCATTCTGTTTCTGAAAAGATTCTGGAAAATGATTCCATTGCTAACTTACTGTGGATTTGATCCAAACAGAACTTGGCATTGCAAAGTTGAGTATGCAATATGCTCACACACACATGCACGCACAAAGAGCTAAAGCATGGAACTCACCTGGTTTAGGTTTTATTATATAATAAGAGCAAAACATAGTGAAAAAAGCAGTTAAAATGGTTCATTTTGGTAAATCTATGTACCCCTTTTCAGTCTGGGTTCATCTTCCACAAATTGCTTAGAAAAGTAGATGACTGGCAGGAAAGTTTTTCAAATCTATATATTCATTACATTTTCCAAGACATTGGCACAAAGAAAATTTTGAACCCATACCTGCAGTATTTGCACTGGAAATCTGATTAAGAATTACAGGCAATGAATCTGAACACAGGAGAATGCTAAATGCCCAATACAATTAATCATGATAGTTCAAATTTCGAATACTCTGTTATCCACATACAGCTTCTCATGAACAAGCGACAGTCACTCAGAAATGATTGAACAAACTATTCTAGGTAACAACATTCCAAGTAAAACTCAAACAGTTCCAGGACCATTTACAAACAATCCCGAACAAACAAAGGTGCTGTCAAATTTACACATGTTAAATCTGGAAGGGTCTATTA